CCCCAAAACCCCAAAACCCCACTGAATAGACATCTATCATTTTAGAGCAGTTTAATAAAGTTTATATTTTAGAAATAGGCATCTCTGTGTCTATTAATATTTTCCATCTACTATAAAAATAATAAAATGTAATCAGAAGAAGCAATTGTATCGTCCAAGTTGATGAAACGAACAAGTACTCATGTAAATTCCAAGGATACGAATTAATCCTAGAGAAACACCTAGAATTTCAATTAGAGTCAATATGAAGAACCTTAAAATGTTTTGTAGATGCTAAGATAATAAAGCATATAGAATTAAACTATTATCAAAACAAAGCAGCCTAAATAATCAGATGATAACTCTTATAAATAGATCCCATTACTTTCAAAAACTATATCAATCTCTCAAAGAAAATCTACAACTGGTCTTGAAGAATAAAGTCCTTATCTTAGAAATGAAAGATACAATTCCAACATCGAAGAATAAATTAAAGCAATGGAAAAGTAGAGACAATAAGAGGATTAGAGCCCTGATAGAGACTTTAGCAGTCTATCTGTAAACCCTTTAGATTAAATACCAAATATACATATATTTAGAAGGAACCAAGAATCAATTAATAATTAGTAAGAGTTTACCACAGCCTCACCTTTAAAAACATGCAAGAGAATTAAAGATTATGAACCTATCAAAATAAAACGATTTTCTCTGATTTCTACCGAGAATATTTTTGATTCTGAAAAGTAAGAGAACAAATATTAAAAGCCTTAAAATAAAAGGAGTAGCAATGGTGGATCAATACATCAAAGAACTGCATATTTATTAAATTTAAACAAAAGTTAGGATCCAATTAATTTTAGCAGAAGTTAAAAATATCATCTGCCAGATGCTACAATGATATGACCTGTAATTGGGGGAAGCACTCAGCTGAGAGATTAATTACTATGCTAAAGGTAGCAATTAGTTAGAAGAATAATTAATATTAGAGATTAGTTAAAACCTAACAATGATATTAATCCTAATATTGAATAAATGAACAAGATGATTCTAGATGAGAAAGTCTATAACTATAACACGCCTGAATTGATTAAATTAACTGCTCAGATTACAAGATAACTAAAAAGGAATACACCTAGTAATAAATAAAACATATCCTATAGTAATCTATTGAAGAAAGTCAACCATAGTGTCCATGAAAGCCAGCCTAGCTAGGAAGAATTTGATGGTTAAATAACTGGTAAAAATATAGCTTCTCCAAAAATTTCAAATTTAATCAAAGACAGCAGCAATTATATCATAGATGGTAAAGATTATAATAGTAAAAGATAATCTCAGAGAAGTTTAGGCACAACAAGTCAAAGGAAAAATCTTAAATTGCAGAGAGAAATTCCAGATACTCAGCCTTTCCTTAGGAAAGATATTTCTCAAGGAGTATTTATTAATAAAGAAATTATCAGCTCAAATTACTCTTACGAGTAAAATCAATGGACTAACTAAACTGACGTAACACCTTTTGTAAAAATGCTAGATAAGAATATGATATAGTGGGAAAGAAAAAAATAAGTCCTAAACAAAATGTATGAGCAAGACAAAAAGTATAATGATTACAAATTTTAGAAATAATACTTCTCTCCTCCAAAAGAGTTAATAGTTAGGAATGAATCCTATAATTCTAACTTAAATAAATAATCTCAAAGATAATAGAATAATAGAAATGCTGGGCATGTATTCATAAATAAGAGTGCATTTTAAAACTATAAGAAACTAGTTAATATGGCTAATTATTAGGCTGAAGTCAGAACATCACATCTTTGATATTAGATGCTTAAATATACTATACAAAAAGTTGTTTATTTAATATGACATTAATTTCATCAGTTTCAAAAAGAAAGTTGGGGTTTTGGGGTTTTGGGGTTTTGGGG